CAAGTGTAGGTGAGGATGTGGAGAAATAGGCAGCCCTTTACACTGCTGATGGTAATGTACAATGATGCAGCCACTGTGGAAAAGCTTGGCAGTTCCTGAAAATGAAAGAAGCCAGGCATAAAAAAACACTTATTTTATTATGCCATTTATATCAATATGAAATGTCCATAATTGGCAAATCCATAGAAACAGAAAGCAGATTAGTAGTTGCCACAGGTTGGGGGGTGGGGGGGGATAAGGAATGACTGCCTAATGAGTACTGGGTTTCTTTCTGAGGTATTGAAAATGTCTGGAATTATATGGTGGTGATCGTTGCACAACACTGTGAATACACTGAAAGTCACTGAATTATACACTTCAAGATAGTTTACGTGAATTTTATGTTAGGGAATTTCATCTCAATTTTTTAAAAAACTACATGATATAACCAGTTCACACCCAGTGAGTGACAAGGATGTTTAACAACTGGGACTCTCATACATTGCTGCAAGTAACAGTTACTAAAAACTTCTGTAGTTTCTCGCCATGTTAAACATTCAGTAAACATATGATCTATCAATTCCAAGAAAAATAAAAGCCTATGTCCACAAAAAGACCTATATACAAATGTTCATAGCAGCATTATTCATAATAGCCCCAAATTAGAAATAACCCAAATATCCATCAAGAGGGGATGGATAAACTGTGGTATATTCACAGAATGGAATACTACTCAACAATAAAAAGGAATGGACCACTGATACATGTAGCAACATGGATGAATCACGAAAATATGTTATGCAAAATAATGGAGATGCAAAGCATATAAATTACATGGTTCCATTTATATGAAGTTGAAATACAGGAAAAATTATTTATGATATTAGAAATCAGAAGAGTGGTTACCACTGGTGAAGGGAGATTGGAACAAGGAGTGAAATAACTTTCTGTGGTGACAGAAATGTTCTTTATTTTGATGAGGGGTGGTAATTACATGGATATACATATTTTTTAGAACTCATCAATCCGTACGCTTAAAATGGGTGCACTTTATTGTATGTGGATTATAAAACATACTAGAAATTTTTTAAACTTACATGATGAGACTTCAATGGGAGTCTTAAAGTAAACAAGTCTCACTGGGCCTAGCCCATTGCAGGTGCTCAATCAATATAAAAGGAAAGAAAAAAGTGGGCTAGGAAGGTAGATTGTTTTATAACCGTGGCTGGGAGTTCCCTCGTGGTGCAGTGGTTAAGAATCCGCCTGCCAATGCAGGGGAAACGGATTTGATCCCTGGCCCGGGAAGATCCCACATGCCACGGAGCAACTAAACCCATGCGCCACAACTACTAAGCCTGCGCTCTAGAGCCCGTGCTCTGCAACAAGAAGCCACCGCAATGAGAAGCCCGCGCACTGAAGAGTAGCTCCCGCTTGCCACAACTAAAGAAAGCCCACACCCAGCAATGAAGACCCAAAAAAGTCAGAAAAAAATCATTGCCAAATATGTATTGTGTAATATCCTAAAGGAATTTACAATCTAGTTCAGAATGTAATACAACCTATGAACCAACTCAGTATCCTTAACAGCTCCGGCAGGTACCACAGCAGCCTCTGAATTATACTGTCTCAACGTGATTCACTCTCAAATTTTGAATTTTCCTGTCTTGCTTATTCTCCATTTTTGACCCTTCTCTTAGGTTATGTTCAGGGACTTGATACACTGAATTTTCCTTGGTTTCCCAGCCCAGCCTCACCTGAGACACGGACTCCAGCGCCACAGCCACTAACCAACTCTATCCCTTCATATGCTTAGTTTGCAAAACTAAGAACTTAATCTCAGAAAAACCTTAGGCCCTCCAACTCACCAGGGTAATGAGACTCTAAAATATGAAAATTAATTAATAACAATAGCAACAGAACACATTCCAAGAAATAATATATCAATAGCTGGCAAATAAATCAAACTGGACTATTACTGAAGTCCCCAAATGAGCAGGAGATAAAGGCTAAGTCAGGCTTGTTATGAAAAGGAAAGAGGAACAACTGTGAGCCAGGTGGAGAGGCTTAAGGAAAAGAAATAAGGAAAGTGGTATTGCAGAAAAATGAATAAATCCATTTGTCTAGACTCTAGAATAAAAATTATACTTGTATATTCATGAGGTAGTCTGAAAAAGCAAATTAAGGCCTCATTGGATAATTACAGAAAGTTGTGGAGTAGACAGAGCACATTATTTTCATTTACAGATGAGGAAATTGTAGTATGGCAAGGTTAGTATTTGCTCAAGGTCATAAAACTACCTAGGAATAGAGCCAGTACTGAATGAAATTCATTTTCTCTTGATTCACAGTCAAACATTCATTTACTTAGACCGTGATTCTACTCAATGTTTTCCAACTTTGTTTAACAGAATTCTTTAACCAACTTTTCACAAGTAACGCTGCCCCCATTATTTCTTCTTACATGTATACCTTTCACCTGAAGCACATCTCAAGACATACTTTAAATAAATCTTATTCTTTGACCAATAGCCCTGATTATTTGCATGATAGTAAGGAGGTTTCTATGTTTACAGGCCATAGATATGACCACATCCTTCTTCTGGTGGCTACTACAAGATTTGAGTTCCAATAATAATTTTTTTTAAACTGTCCTTGGGTTACAGATCAGAAAATTTCTAACACTGTCCAGCAAAACAAACCTTCTGCTTATTCACAGCTTGACATTATCTCCTGCAGTGCAGTCAAGGGTGTGTCTAAAAGCCTAGGGTGCCACTATGTTACTGTCCTTCCTCATTGCAGTAAATAAGAAAGGTACCTCATCTTTCACTGGAACATAAAATGGGCTTCCTGCTTTTATTTTCTTCAACAGAAACCTATCTTTCCCATATCCCCTAAACCTTCCAAAGACCCTATCTTCCCTTCCTATCATGATAATTTCCTACACTGACAAATTTTTTGCAAGAGTATAGTCAACCCATCTCCACTTCAAGCCTATCATTTTTATCCAGTACTTACCTTAGCCATCTCCTGAAATTCTCACTAAGGAACCAATGACATCTTAAACACCAGAATCGAAGGCCTATTTTTCAAGTCTTAGCCTTTTGGAACGCTTGAAGATGGAGAGAGGCTGACATATAGAGTTCACCAGAACGACAGCACTAACTCAGCTCTCACTCTGTGCCAGGCACTGTACTAATTAAGCTTCCAAAAATGTCCCAATTAATTCTCACAACGTCTGAGAAGTGTTTATTACCTCCATTCTCAGATATTAAAATTTAGGATCAAAATTACCCAAAACCATATAGTTAGTGAAGCCTGCACGATCCCAAAGTTTGTAATTCTGTGACATTTGAAGATTAGTTCCCAGCTCTCTTCCTAACTCTGTGGCCTTTTCTCCGCCTCCTTCACTAGCTCATCATCCTCCGCTCACCACTACCTCTCTTATCTCACATGCTCTCCTGGGCAACTTCCATTTCCTCCCGTGGCTTTAACTACCTTCTACACTAGTGTTTCTCAATCTTTTAAGACTTTTTATAAACATAAAAATCATGGGCTCTTTTGGTAGCTTACATTTTGAAAAGACTGTTTTTCCCAAACAGAAATTCTAGTGTTGTTCAAACTACACCTCCTGCCTTTTAAGATCTGATAACCTCTTAGGCATCACCCCATGACTGAGAATCAGCAACTGGTCTGTATGACGTCTCTCAAATCAGTCTTCCCTCTCCTGACCATCCCCGCTCTCTCCCAGACATCTCTCCTGAATTACAAATACTACCCGGTGTCTAATAAAAATAGATCCATTATCGTCTCCCCAAACTAAGACCATCCACAGCAAAACTCACTTCCCTTAGGAAACCTGAACCACCTCTTTGTGTTCTCCATTTTGGCTAAAGGTATTACAATCTACCCTTTTCTATACTTTTAAGGTACCTATCTGTGAAACGGCAACACTGGCACTAACTTCCCTTAGCTACTAAGTTAAAAATCAACCATCAAACAACGAGACACTATCGTGTCCAGGAGGTAAGGAATGTAAAGCATAGTACAAGATTCAACGCTTTTACTCCTTACGAAGTTTACAAGAAAAAAACACACCAAAATCCATTTTTTGTGTGTGAAGCGTTTCCCACTTACCAAACAAAAGTAATTTACTTTCCAAAACATTTAAATGTAATCCTTACTACAAATCCCATTTTAGAGATGAAAAAACCTGATATTCAAAGGGATTAGGTAATTTAACCCAAGTTTTACAAGCTGGTCGGTGCAAGATCCAGACCCTAAACCCTAGACTTGAGATTTCAAATTCCCTTTCCTGTTATTGTTGAAATAAACTTCTACACAATAAAACGAAATCTCGGGTGTGCACAACAGAGGTCAACGGAGCAGCGCACGCAAGTACCAGAAAGCACAAGGCATCCTGGACGCGCTCTAGGCCGGGGTCCTCCTTGCCCAACCCTCGCTCCGACGCCCCCCGGCCACTCTCTCCCCGCCAAGACCCTTTGCGGCCTGCCTCTATCCAGCCCGGTGACCGCGGGAAAACAGCGCTCTGAGACTCGGGGCGCGCTGGGTAGAGGCTGCCGCCGCCGCCAACCGCCCCACCCCAATCTGCGTCCGGGCTCGGCCGTAGCCGCCGCGCCTCCAGCCGCCGGGACAGCCGACCCGGGGGGAGCAAGCGTACCTGGTGGAGGAAACGGCTGGAGGGCAGGCGGTCCCGGTAACCTTAGAAGGTGGGAATGACCTCGGAGGCGAGTTGATCTGGCTGACGGCGCTAACTGCATTCACTCCCTTTGGCCACCCCGGGGCCACAAAGACTCTTCAAGCCAGTACAGGGTACAGCACACCGGCGACGAGAACCCGGGGCGGATCTGAGGGCGAGAATGCGTACCAGTGGGTAAGGCGCAGGGGCGGAGACGCGGCCCGTGGGGGCGGAGACGCGGCCCGTGGGGGCGGGGCGTGAGGGGCCGGATGCGCAGCGCGAGGAGGCGGGCACCAAGGGGCTGGGCGCGCGACGCGAGCACGTGGGGGAGAGCGCGAGGCGGGGCGCGCGGCGTGAGACGGGGCGGGGCGCGCGTATCGGCGCCGCGGCCGCGTGACGCGTTTTCAAATCTTCAACCGCCGCAGCCCACTCGTTTGTGCTTTGCCACTTCCTCCTTGGCGCCCTGAGGCCGCATTCCGCCCCCGGAAACTCGGCGGGCAGACGCGGCATCTCTACTGCGTGGGTGTGGTGGCCCGCGGAAGCGGAGAAGCTACCGGCCGGTCAACGGGCCTTGAGGAGCCGTGTTTCCGTGGCCGCCCGGCGCGACACTCTCTCCGGACCCAGCATGTAGGTGCCGGGCGGCTGCCATGAACTCCGGAGCCATGAGGACCCACAGCAGAGGACATTTCCAGGGTACGAAGCCCCTCCTCCGGCTGCAGTCCCTTTAATCCTTTCCTTCCCTCATGGTTCCATAATTGATTCTTCAGAGTTCTCGCGCTGGGTCTCTGCTTTTCTCTTCTGACACGTGCATCCTGCTCTGGCCTGAAGGAAGGCTTGCTTCAGGGTTTTGCCGCAGGAAGGGAACGGATCCCGGCCCGGCCCCTGGCGCTCTCCACGCTCCAGCCTCGGCCGCAAATTCCCCGTAGCGCTGTCGGTTATAAAACTAGGAGACAATGCGGGACCCGGGAACCCGCCGGGGCCCTCACAGATGCTGCGACCCTTTGAGGCTGCCGCTTGAGCCTCGATTTAAATACAGATGTGCTCGGGGCTTTTCGCTTCCTGATTAAACTGGGTGATTATGGGTGGATTTTTGGTCTTACTCATGAAGTTGAGGGAAAGTGTGTGTATTTCAAACACACCGTTGCTGTTTTCAACATTACAGACAGAAACAAGAGCAAACTTTCATTTTCAATCACTTCTATTTGGTAAAGCATTCCAGCCTGTAAGTTTTTCTTTTTAACATGTATAGTGTGTGTGGGTATATATTGATATGTATAGTGTGTATATGTGGTCTCCTACTTATGAACAGATTGAGTTCTTAAAGTTAATTTTTAAGCAGCTGTTTGGATCTGACATGTTTTCAAAGGAAAGAATGAAATGAATGGTGATTTGGTTCTTCAAATGGACCGCTGAGTTCTTCTTAATATACACACTGACTCTACGTGAAACTCAACCTTGAGCAGTCAGGAACCCTTGAGGTCTAGGTCATTCTGAGTAACAGGTTTCTTGCATTATTAAATGTTCAACATTTTAAGTACCAGTTGTGAGTGTTCAACAGAATGGCAGACGCTCCATGAGTATATGTTGAGTAAATACTCCATGCAGTTTACATACTAGGAAAACTCTTTCAAATTGGTTTTACATAGTTCACTGCCTTAATGCATAAAACACGGATAAACACATGAATATTTCTTGCAGAGTCAACTGTTGACTGTGAACAATAGTCGTTTTGCGACATAAAATATCTGTTAAAATAGAGTGTTTTGCCTTTATCCTAAGTGATACAAAGAAATATATTAAAATGTTAATGACTGCTAAATTAGTAGGATTATAAAGATTTTTCTCTCTGTGATATTATCACATAAACAAATATTTTTAAAACAGTAGAAAATTTCTGTCTGCGTAAAACATGATCTAATTCTAAATTTTTTAAACAATAGGTGGAATCCAAGTCAAAAATGAAAAAAATCGACCGTCTTTGAAATCTCTGAAAACTGATAAACAAGAAAAATCCAAATATGAGCCACTCTGGGGTAAAGTATTTTACATTGACTTACCTTCTGTCACCATATCTGAAAAACTGCAAAAGGACATTAAGGATCTGGGAGGGGTAAGTCAAAACCATACACTGTAACAAAAAAGGAAAACTCTAATTTGTAATCATTTAACATTTTCCTTTGGGAAAAAAACTTTTATAAGCACCAAGCTTAAAATTTTTAACAGCTGTTTATCATTAATGAACAGTCATTTGTTTTAACCTTCTGTAGGCTGACAAAACTTTCAGGTTTCTGTGATTATTAGTCTGGTGTGAAGTTCACAAGTGTGAGAAATGAGACTCCCTTGTCCTGAAGGAACTGCTGATTGCCTTCTCACGGTAATGTTGGGATGTCCTCCAGATGGTAGAAACTCCTTGATTATGATTATTGGGAAGCTACATGAAAGTAAGATGTTATTTACAGAACAAGGAAAACCTGTTCAAACCACAAAGAGTTAAAATTTCTCTTGACTGATACAGTCTCAACAGAATGAATGTCATTAAGGGAACGATTTTGGATTATAAATATGGAAAACGTGCTTCTTTCCTACCTTATACATTGAGTAAATGATTAGGAAATTAGAAAATTTGGGTAAAATTCTAAGATTTTCTTAGGATTAAGGGTGGTACTGGGTAAATTTTAGCAAGGTTAAGATTTTATTCATTTATTTCCTGATTATTCCTGTTTCAAAGATTTCTGCTGCACTTTGTCATGGTTAACATTTTTTGAATAATATGAACAAATCCTGCCATTACTGGAATAGAAATTTGCAGAACATGTAACAAGTTTTTTGGAATCATTTTTTGATATGATATTTTACTTAACTGTCTTTGAAAAGCTATTCTACTTTTTTGCTATTCATTTTCTTAAAATAAAACATTGTCACACATTTGTCATAGTAGTAGCATGTACCATAATGACCATATGACTGCATTACTAAAGTTCATGTTTTATAGCCTGCCATCATTGAGTAAAGATCCCTTATTTTAAAAATTAAGTACTTAAGTGTCCAGAGAAGTAAGTGACTGACCCAGGGTAGAATCAGCCTAATACCTAGACTCATGCTACAGCACCATTCTGTTCCTCTAGCAATCAGTGGCTACAAAGTAGCTATCTGATATGGTTTGAGAGCTTTCTTAAATATAATGGAAAAACTTATTAACCCTTCTAATCTAAATCAGTAATTTTAGATTTGTGCTTTTAGCAGTGGAACCCTTCAAACAAAATCATGTTCAGAAGTCCAATGTGTAAAGCCAATAAAAAGGGAATTGCTGTAGCTGAAACAGCAGTATAGAAGCTAGTGCAGGGACTGCCTGCCCTACCCCCTTTTTCTCTCTCCTCTCATCCCCATAGCAGTTCCTGAGGCACTTGCAAGAAACAAATTTTGAACTCACTTATGTGTTAGATAATAGCTGAGAAAGAGCTGAAAGTTGGTTTTATACACTTCAAATTTTTATCCTAAAATGGTTTGAAGTAGGTCAATGAAATGAGGAGCATATTAATGTCATAAGTTTCCAGATTTTTCCCCAAAGCTGTGGATTTTCAACTGAATTTGATTTATTGACTTTATTCCCTTAATTTCTCCTAAGATTTTTTTTATCAAATTCTGATCTCCCCCCACACTATCTTTCCAATAATTCATGATGTCATGATTTCTGTCTCTAGCACAGTACTATTTCTATCACTGAAAAAGACTGTTACGAAGATCTCGTATGGGAGCTATAAAGGAACTTTGATTTCTATACACTAATTTAAGTTTTAAGATTCAACTTTAAGAAACGTGTAGTTAAATATTGATAGATCTTCCTCAAAAGGACTGTGCTTATTACTTAATTTTTAGGATTACTTAGATCCTTTAACCATTTGTAATTTATTTTGCCTCAGGTTATTAACAGTGTCATCTTTTTTTGAACTGTCCATTTTATGCATTTGCTTTCTCTAGTCTGAATGAAAACATCTAAATACACTTTTTATTTGGAGAGTACATTTCTGAAGATTCAGCCACTGAGAGTACATCAGTGAAGTGCTGACATAATGGGGGAATATCTCTAATAGTGGCAAGAAAGGTTGCTGTTGTAAAACCAACCATGCGTAAGCCCATATCTAAACAGTTTGGGCTAAAATAAGACAGCTGGAGAAGAAAAGAGATGTAGGGTCAGATACCTTGGCATAGTTCTGTCCTCATGAACTTGAGGACAGAATTACTTGTTTTGGATGTTCAGTGTGACCTTGAGTCATCAGAAAATAAGTTTTGAGTTTACTCTTTTAAAGACCTAGATTCCACAGTAGCTAATAAATTAAAGGCCATGATAAAACTAACTCAACAGTACAGGACACAGTATTAAGTATTTTGATAGATTCAAAAATGAATCTGATGTCCATCCCACCCTCAATTTCTAATCTAAGCAGAGATGGCATTGGTACAATTAATTGTAATATAGAATGTTATAAGAGGGAAAGATTGCTTCCAACTAAGGAATCTTGGAGGCCATTGTACAGACACAAGTTGAACTCAGCTTTGAAGAATGGTTATGATTTGGGCATATGGAAATTCATTCAGAAATTATTCCACCAGTGTCTCCCATATGCTAGCACTATTTTAGATGCTGGGGAATGCAAAAATAAGATGTAGTCTAATCCTCTAGGAATTCTCAGTCTATCGGACACCTAAATCAATAAATTACAGTATAGCATTGTCAGTGCTTTAACAGAAGTTATGTAGAAATTGCCATTAGAATATAGAAATGGAAATATTAACTCTGCCTTTTGGATTTATAGCAGGAATAAAATTTGAGCTGAGTCTTGAAAGCCTAGTAGGAATATACCAGGTAAAATGAACAAACAAAATAGAGGAAAGAACATATTTAAAATATAGGTCTGTGTGGTTTGTTTGAGCAACTGCTAATATTAAGAGTATGACTTGAGCTTGGGATTTAGATGGGGGATATGGCAAGAAACAGTGTTACATCGGGACCAGATTGTAAAAGATATTTTTCATTATTAAAGACTTATAACTCGAGGTACAGGAAATGGAAACCCAAGGGAAATGTGTCATATTAGCATAAGGACAAACATATAGACCAATGCAATAGAAGAGAGAACCCAGAAATCCTCTCATATAGTTGATTTTCAACAGGAGCACCAAGACCATTCAGTGGGGAAAGGATAATCTTTTTAACAACTGATGCTAGGAAAACTGAATATCAACATGCAAAAGAATTAAGTTGTACCCTTACTGTATATTATGTGCTACAATTAATTAAAAATGGATCAAGATCTAAAATGTAAGAGCTAAAACCCATAGAGGAAAGTATTGGGGAGAATCTTCATGATGTTAGATTTGGCATTGAGTCCTTGACTATGACACCAAAAGCACAGACAGCAAATGAAAAAATAGATAAGTTGGACTTAATAAAAATGTGAAGATTTTGTGTATCAAAGGACACTATCGAGAGGGTGAAAAGACAACCCACATAATGAGAAAAAAAATATTTGCAAATCATACATCTGATAAGGGATTAATATCTAGAATATAAAGAACTACTACAACTCAACAAAAAACAACCCGATTAAAAAATGAGCAAAGGACTTGAATAGACTTTTCTCCAAAGAAGATATATACATACAGATGGCCAATAAGCACATGAAAAGATGTGCAGCATCACTGATCACTGGGAAATACAAATCAAAAACATAGAGACAGACATAGAAAACCAACTTATGGTCACCAAAGGGGAGAGTGGGGGGAGGATGTAAATTAGGAGTTAGAGATGAGCAGATAGAAACTACTATATACAAAATAGGTAAACAAGGTCCTACTGTATAGCATAGGGCACTATATTCCATATCTTGTAATAAACTATAATGGAAAAGAATATGAAAAAGAATATGTATGTATATGTATAACTGAGTCACTTTGCTGTACACCAGACACACAACATTGTAAATTATATTTCAATTAAAAAAAAACACACACTGAGATACCATATGACATCTGTTAGAATGGCCACTATCAACATAGGTGTTGGTGAGGATGTAGAGAAACTGGAACCCTCGTGAACTGTTGGTGAGATTGTAAAATGGTGCAACTGCTATGGAAAACATTAGTTTCCTCAAAAAATTAAAAATGGAATTACCATATGATCAAGCAATTCCACTTCTGGGTATATACCCAAAAGAACTGAAAGCAGAGTCTGGAAGAGATACTTGTATACCCATGGTCATAGCAGCATTATTCACAATAACCAAAAGGTGGAAACAACCCAGATGTTAATCAGCAGGTGAATGGATAAACAAAACGTGGTTTATACATACAGTGGAATATTACTCAACCTTGAAAAGGAATGGAATTCTGATCCATGCTACATCACGAGTGAACCTTGAAAACACTGTACTAAATGAAATAAACCAGACACAAAAGGACAAATACAGGATTCCACTTATATGAAGTACCTAGAATTATCAAATCCATAGAAACAGAAAGTAAGCATTAAAAGGGGCTGGCAAGGGACTCCCCTGGTAGCGCAGTGGTTAAGAATCCATCTGCCAATGCAAGGGACACAGGTTCAAGCCCTGGTCTGGGAAGATCTCATGTGCAACAGAGCAACTAAGCCCATGCGCCACAACTACTCAGCCTGCACTCTAGAGCCTGCGAGCCACAACTACTGAGCCTGTGTGCACAACTACTGAAGCCCGTGCACCTAGAGCCCATGCTCTGCAACAAGAAAAGCTACCGCAATGAGAAGCCCGCGTACCGCAACCAAGAGTAGTCCCCGCTTGCCACAACTAGAGAAAGCCCGCGCACAGCAACAAAGACCCAGTGCAGCCAAAACTAAACAAATAAATTTACTTAAAAAAAAAAAAAAAAGAAAACGGCTAGCAAGAGGGGAAAATGGGGAGTTATTGTTTAATGGGTACAGTTTCAGCTTAGAATGATGAAAAACTTCTGGAAATGGATAGTGGAGAAGGTTATACAACATTGTGAATATACTTAATGCCACTGAATTGTACACTCAAAAATGGTTTAAATGGTAAATTTTATGTTACGTATTTTATCACAATTTTTTTTTTTTAATGGTTGGGAGATTGGGCTTCTTGAAAAACTGGAAGCTCTGTCAGTGCTGGGGCCACATATTTATGAAGATGAAAAGAGTATTTGACATGTAATCGTTCATTCGTATTCTTGCTGGCCCTTGTAGGCATTTGAGTCTGTCATCCTTAGAATACATAAATGTACTTTATTTACTGGTGGATGAAAATGTTACTCAGAAAAAAAGGAACTAGTGATTTGCATTTAACCAAGGCAGCTGCTGGTCTTAGCAACAAATTGTGCTTAATGCTTAGATGAAATTAACTAATTACATACTTTGCTTCATTTTTTATTATCTTCATTTATGTTGTGAGACCCTACAGAAATTAGATACAGCTGCTTAAAATACTTTGAGTCTCTCATTTATGCAAATAGTTAATGATTAATAGTATTTTTTCTACTTAGTTTAATTTTCCTGCCTTTGGATGGCAGTGATTTTCAACACTGACTTATTGACTTTGGTACATGTGTTTATAAATTCAGACATTTAAGCAGTGGTTTTCAAACTAGGGAAATTCTCTTCAAAACAGTCATACACTTTTTTGGGGGGGGGGTGCTATGTTGGGTCTTCATTGCTGCATGCAGGCTTCAGTAGTTGCAGCACGCTCAGTAGTTGCAGTACGGGGGCCTGAGAGCCCTCAGGCTTCAGTAGTTGTGGCGCACGGGCTCTAGGGCCCCCAGCGTTGGTAGTTGTGGCACTCAGGCTCAGCTGCTCTGCAGCATGTGGGATCTTCCTGGACAGGGATCGAACCCGTGTCCCCTGCATTGGCAGGCAGATTCTTAACCACTGCACCACCAGGGAAGTCTCAGTCATACACTCTTAAAAGTAAGGGTTTCCTACCTTTTAATAGTTTAAGTCTTAAGGAAAGGTGTTATAACTTTATACGTTTGAATTGTGCTATCCAGTATTATAGCCATTCGCTACATGTGCCTATTGAAATTTAAGTTAATTAAAATTAACACAGTTTGAAATTGTTGCTCAGTCACATTAATTACACTTCACGTACTCAGTAGTCACGTGTGGCAGTTGTTACCATATTGGACAATGCTGATAAAAGAACATTTCCATCATTACAGTGAGTTCTATTGGACAGTAGTGCTTTAGAGCATGGATATGAAACAATACCTATGTTCACACAACGTTGTAAATCAGCTATACTTCAATTAAGAAAAAATTAAGGTTAAAAAAAAAGAGTACCTGTGTTCAAATTCTCTTACTACTGGTGTAACCCTCAAGGCAAGTCACTTAACTTCTGTTTTCTTCTCCACAAAATAAGGATAATATTAGTATTATGGGTTGTCATGTGGATTAAACTAATTACAATATATAAACTACATGCTGTTGTTGTGTTATTAGAATTCTCATTGTACTTTCTCAACTCTAGGTTCAGAATAATACAGTATAGAAATTTAGAATATTGAAATGCATCAAATTGGCATTTTCTACTGTGCCTAGCATATGAAACAGTTTATGGTTTATATGACTTACTTAAAAATACTTTGTTTTCCTTTAGCGAGTTGAAGAATTTCTCAGCAAAGATATCAGTTATCTTATTTCAAATAAAAAGGAAGCTAAATTTGCACAAACCTTGGGACGTATTTCTCCTGTACCAAGTCCAGAATCTGCATATACTGCAGAAACCACATCACCTCATCCCAGCCATGATGGAAGTTCATTTAAGTCTCCAGATACAGTAAGTCTCTGAAATATGGTTTGAGACTCTGGGAAAGGCTATAGGATTTTATAATTTTCAAGAGTGGGCTGATAGCAGAGTTCACTTAGGTAGAATAATATCTACACTAAGTGTGGCTTTCCAGTCGTTAATAAGGTTGCTGTTGTATATAGAAAGGTGATTTTTCTCCTAATAGTGCTTGTGTAGTCACACTGATTCCTAAAATATGCCCTTGCATTTAGTGATGGCTTTTATTTTGAGAGTAATTTACAACTAAAGAGTGACAGCAGATCATTTTTTAAAGAAGGAATAGAAACCTTTTGTTTGTTTCAGAGCAGAGGTAAGCAAACTATGGCCCATGAGCCAAATCCAGCCTGCCGCCTGTTTTTTTTTTTTTGCAGCACGCGGGCCTCTCACTGTTGTGGCCTCTCCTGCTGCGGAGCACAGGCCCAGCGGCCATGGCTCACGGGCCCAGCCGCTCCGCGGCATGTGGGATCCTCCCGGACCAGGGCACGAACCCATGTCCCCTGCATCAGCAGGCAGACTCAACCACTGCGCCACCAGGGAAGCCCCAAGCCTGCCGCCTGTTTTTTACAGCCTGCGAGCTAAGCATGGATTTTACATTTTCAAGTGGTTGGGGAAGAATTCAAAAGAATACTTTGTGACAAGTGGCGATTATGTGAAATTCAAATTTCATTGTCCATGAGTAGAGTTTTATTGGAACAGAGACATACCATTCATTTACATATTGACTGGTTGCTTTACTGCTGTAAAGGCAGAATGGGATAGTTGCAACAGAGACTATATGGCCTGCAGAGCCATATAAACATGGACTATCTGGCCCTTTAAAGAAAAAGTTTGCCAACCCCTGTACTAGAATTACTAACATCATATCCCTACCACTCAGTTGCCAGTAAGTTGTAAGATACAGTGAAGGATAAATTAAATTGATTTAATTGGGTATGAAAAGGGCAAGAGGTTGAAAATAGTGTTTATCTCATTTTTAGATTGAAATTAATTATTTAAAATTATCCTCCCCGGGGCTTCCCTAGTGGTACAGTGGTTAAGAATCCGCCTGCCATTGCAGGGGACACGGGTTCGATCCCTGGTCCAGGAAGATCCCACATGCCACGGAGCAACTAAGCCCGTGCGCCACAACTGCTGAGCCTGCACTCTAGAGCCCGCGAGTCACACTACTGAGCCCACGCGCCTAGAGCCTGTGCTCTGCAAAAAGAGAAGCCACCATAGTGAGAAGCCCGCGCAACGCAACAAAGACCGAATGCAGCCAAAAATAAATAATAAATAAATAAATTTTTAAAATAAATTAAAAAAAAATCCTCCCCAACTTATCTACTGCAGCCATTTGGAAAGCAGGGAAAAATGGGAGCAGGGGAGAACAGGTAAAAGAAATGATTGTTACATAAAAGATACCTCTTGAAAAAAAAGAGACAAATACAAAGAAGCAAAAACGTCAAAGAAGAAGAGACCAAGGAAGCCTCATACATTCTTTCAGTTAATGCTTTTTTGGAGGAACACGGTTGTACACCAGTGACTAGTTCCAAATTAAATGCTGCTATTAGCATTTCAACTGCTTTTCCTACTGTTTTGTTTAAGAAGTGAAATGCTATGTAAAAACAGTATATATGGTTTACTCATATCCTTTGATCTTTGGTTAAATAGGAAATTAAAATGTAAACTTACTATTTAATTATAGATTGAATTTCAGATCAACCTATTTTATTTTTCATGTTGAATAACATTTACTACAGAACTGACCCTTTTTTTTTTTAAGCTGAGTTTAGGCTCTACCAAAAAAAGAAACAAACTTTTTAATAGATCTTATTATAAACAAAGACCCTAAGGAAATCACTTTTTACTGTACATTTATTATGTTGATGATCATTAAGACTTGTACAAATAAACTTTATGTATTTTAAATTTCATATTTATATTAAAATTCATCTTTAAATTTTATCTACTTGCTTTAGCTATTTTATCTTTTTAAAATTTTTTCCAATGAGGCACTATGTTATAACTATTGTTCTCTGGTCTTTTTATAGGTGTGTTTGAGCAGAGGAAAATTATTAGTTGAAAAAGCTATCAAGGACCATGTAAGTAGGAATTTTAAAAATTCGCAGTGTATATTCTATTACTAAAAACTGAAATGTAAAATAGAGATGTTCTTGAAATCTTTTCCTCATTTTTAATAGGAAAAGCCTAAATATCAGCATGTATCTCATAAAGAACAGAATCTGCTTTTCATGAAGAAACGCCTCCATCTTGTGGCCTTTTAAAATATTACTGGCCACTTCTGAAGCCTGTGGCATTTTTGTGTCTTTAAAAGAAAAAATTTCTTGGAACTATTAACTGTAAGGCTACAGGGTACATTAATTGTCAAGAATATGGGAGTAGGGCTTCCCTGGTGGCCCAGTGGTTGGGAGTCCACCTGCCAATGCAGAGGACACGGGTTTGTGCCCTGGTCCAGGAAGATCCCACATGCCGTGGAGCGGCTGGGCCCGTAAGCCATGGCCACTGAGCCTGCGCGTCCGGAGCCTGTGCTCTGCAACGGGAGAGGCCCGCGTACTGCAAAAAAAAAGAATATGGAGGTATATTAAACAGAAATGGTTTTAGAAATTTCAGAAGAAAAAAACTGATGTTCTCAATGCTATATTGTAACTGTATAGGGTCTGTTCTGAATAACCATCTCAGTGACATTAAGCTTCAGATAATATTTTTAATTTAGCTCATTTAAAAGAGTAATTTCCTAGAAAAAACTATCAAACTTTTTTTTTAACAGGATTTTATTCCTTCAAACAGTATATTATCAAACGCCTTATCATGGGGAGTAAAAATTCTTCATATTGATGGTAAGGATTTTATTATTGCTTTTGACAATATTTGTTATAAGTGTCTGTCTCTTCATTCCTAATTTTAGATAGAATTCTGATAGCAAGAGATACCTCTAAGGGTAATTCTTTCATCTAAATTTACTACAATTATAAGAAAATAGCAGCATTTAACTCCAAAGGTAAAAATGCTAATCTTAAACCCTTCTTTCTTTTAATAAAGACATTAGATACTACATTGAACAAAAGAAAAAAGAATTGTATTTACTCAAGAAATCAAGTACTTCTGTAAGAGATGGGGTATGTTATTTTCCTTAATTTTTAAACTAATTAAAGAAAATGGTAAGCTTGGTTTTTATTTATGTATCTATAAATTTTTTTGCCAAGTGGAAAATATTACTGCCAGAATATCCTAGGGGTAATCCTGTGTACTATATGCATGTTTCTGTCATTTGAATAAATTGTTGCATATCATTTTACTTTAGGATTTACTCATGAGGTAAAAGTTGTTCCACCTTTGATGAGTTTATCACAAAGGTTTTGCTGAATGAGGGCATAAAAATAACTTACATGACTATTTTTAGATTATTTTACTAACCATGCCTTTTCTTTATTGGTTGATTTCTTTCTGTGAAGACATTACAGCTAAAATACAAATTTGTTGGGGGTATTGTAAAAGTGAGCTTATATTATTAAGTTCCATACCACTGGATAAAATCTTTAATTCCTGAATGATCTTTGTTTCCTTTCATTTCTTTGGTTGAGTTGATTTTGAAAAGCAGCTACTTCTCTTTTTTCCCCATGAAACTGCAATAATCACCCTTCCTTTATTTAGTTGTTTTCCTATATGATTTTTTAATCTTGAGGATATTGTGCAATTGCAATAGCTGTTTTCACTGTACTTTCAAGCCCAGTGTTTTTACCATATATATGTTTATATATATATATATATATATATATTTTTTTTTTTTTTAGGGGAAAAGAGTAAGTATTGGCACACAGAAAGCAAGAAGTAAGTATTTTGATTTCCTTAAGTGTGTTTGTTTTGCGTTTAGAAAATAGAATAAAACATATAAAAATCTTCTAACATATCATGTAACCAACCCTTTAAATGACTTTTTCAGTGGTTCTTAGCCTTTTTTTTTTTCTTTAGAACATTGACCCCTATGGCAGTCTGGTAAAGTCTATGGACCTTTGTTAGAATAATGTTTTTTAAAACATTTTTTCTTATCATTATATCACTAAGAAAATCAATTATATTGAAATTCAGTTATCAGAATATTTTTCAGTATAAAATAGTTATATACTTGTTTTTATTACACATTAAAAAGTTCTAGCAGTGATTATAATTGCTACTGTAATTTTGTTTTGAAGTGATGAGTATAAATGATGCTTTGAGATATTTGTAGTAACTAATATGATATGAAAATATGTTTCAACTGATATCAAAATTACAAGCATTGGGCCTCCCTGGTGGCACAGTGGTTTAGAATCCACCTGCCAATGCAGGGGACACGGGTTCAAGCTCTGGTCTAGGAAGATCCCACATGCCGCGGAGCAACTAAGCCTGTGCGCCACAACTACTAAGCCTGTGCGCCACAACTACTAAGCCTGTGCTCTAGAGCCCGTTAGCCACAACTACTGAGCCCGCGTGCTGCAACTACTGAAGCCCGCACGCCAAGAGCCCATGCTCCGCAGCAAGAGAAGCCACTGCAATGAGAAGCCCACGCACAGCAACAAAGAGTAGCCCCTGCTCGCCGCAGCTAGAGAAAGCCTGTGCACAGCAAGGGAGACCCAACACAGCCAAAAGTAAATAAGTAAAATAAATAAATAAATAAAAATTACAAGCACTGCTAATACTACTGTGATTCTTTTGCCTATATGCAAAATTGAAGGACATGTTACATTTCAGTTAGAGATTAGTGAACATAAAAGTTAAATTTTTTTTCCTGTTCTAGCTCAAAATCCTCCGGAATTCTGCTTATAGATCCTTTAGGAGATGCATTCCATTTAAGAATCACAGAATATAGACAGAGCTTCTGTCATTTTGGAAATGGATTTATAATTGCAGGATACCTTACCTGAGGCTAAAAACTTCAAATTGAAATGAAATGGATAATGGATACATCGTTGGATTATTTTAGCCAGAGTAGTTTTATTTAAAAAAAAAAATTCTGGATTTGTAAGCATCTAATATCATGTTTTGTATATTCCCTAGCAGGTAGACTCAAAAAGCCTTTTGTAAAGGTGGAAGATATAAGCCAGTAAGTATCTTAAATTCAATCTGTATGATTTAAATACAATATTAAAGGAGAAAATCTAACTAATTAAACTGTTCCCGCTAATACTTTTAGGTCCCTTTACGTTAGATTTATATGATATTAATATGCATGTGGCACAGTTTCAAAAAGTAGCATTACTTTGTGCTCAAGGACTGAGTTAAGTTTCAGTAGGTTTTAGATAATAATTCCTTGAAAATCTAGTTTAGAGCAATCATGAGACCAGCTCATTTTTCAGTATTTCAAATAACCATTCTCTGGCTAAAGGTAATACCATATGATTTAGAACTACTACTTAAAGACTGCATCTACATTTGTAAAAAAGAAATTATTAGTTACTACTTGGAAATACAAAATCTGAGTATAACATCTAATTTGGTAGTTTTCGCAAACTCATTCTGAAGCTCTATAGAATAATCTTAATGAAGACTACAGATATAAGTAGACTAATTTGGCATGGGAGAATTAGATTTCTTTCCCTACACATTCTAGTTACTCATTTAGACATGTGTGATTAATTCTCTTGGGTGCTCAATGAGGCGACAAAGATGTGTTGAACGCTTCTTTTTTTTAAATGTGCTACTGTGAGAAAAAAAAGTACAATTTAAAATTAGGCCTGGAGGGACTTCCCTGGTGGCCCAGTGGTAAAGAACCCTCCTTCCCATGCAGGGGACACAGGTTCAGTCCCTGGTTGGAGAACTAAGATCCCACATGCTGTGGACAGCTAAGCCCTCGCACCTCAACTATAGAGCCCGTGTGCTGCAAACTAAAGAGCCTACATGCTCTGGAGCCCAAGCACCACAACTAGAGAAGAGAAAGCCTGCATGCCGCAACAAAGAGCCCACGTGCCACGACTAAGACCCGACACAGCCATAAAAATAAATATTTTTAAAAATAAAACTAGGCCTAGAGAAGCATCAATAAGTGGAAAGACAGCCCATATTCATGGATTGGAAGACTTCATATTTTAAGATGTGAGTACTACCCAAAGTGATCTACAGATTTAAAGCAATCCCTATAAAATCCCAATGACTTCTGTTGCAAAAAGAGAAAAATCTGTCCTAAAATTCATATGGAATCTCAAGGGACAGGGACACTGAACACCCAAAGTAATTTTGAAAATGAAGAACAAAGTTGGAGGTCTACACTTAACCAATGTCAAAACTTACTACAAAGCTGTAGTAATCAAAACAGTTTGGTACTGACATAAAGACATATATAGACCAATGGAATAGAATAAAGAGCCCAGAAGTAAATCTTTATATATATGATCAAATGATTGCTGACAAGGATGCCAAGAACATTCAGTAGGGAAAGGACAGTCTTTTTAATAAACAGTATTGGGGGCTTCCCTGGTGGCGCAGTGGTTGAGAGTCTGCCTGCCGATGCAGGGGACATGGGTTCGTGCCCCGGTCCAGGAAGATCCCACATGCCACGGAGCGGCTAGGCCCGTGAGCCATGGCCACTGAGCCTGCGTGTCTGGAGCCTGTGCTCCACAATGGGAGAGGCCACAACAGTGAGAGGCCCGCGTACCGCAAAAAAAAACATAATAATAATAATAATAAACAGTATTGGGAAAACTAGATAGCCACATGCAAAAGAATGAAGTTGGACCCTTACTTTATACAATATATAAAATTAACTCAAAATGAGTCAGAGACCTAAAACTATACAACTCTTGGGAAAAAAAACATAGGGGGAAGCTATATGACATTGGAATTGGCAGTCATTTCTTGGATATGACACTAAAAGCAGAAGCAAAAAGATAAAAGAACTAAATTGGAGTATGTCAAAATTATAAATTTCTGTGCACAAAAGACATAACACAGTGAGAAGGCAACCACAGAATGGGAGAAGATAGTTGCAAGTTATGTATCTAATACGATGGTAATATGAAGAACTCAACAACAGAAAATCAAATGACCCAATTAAAAAATGGGCAAAGGACTTGACACTGCTCCAAACATACCCAAATTGCCAACAAGCATATGAAAAGATGTTCAACCTTACTCATCATCAGAGAAATGCAAATCCAAACCACAATGAGAAATCTATTACCTCACAACCACTAGGATGGGTACTATTTTAAAAAAAAAGTGTTGGTGAGGGTGTGGAGATATTGAAACTCTTATGCACAATTTGTGGGATTAGAAAATGGTGTAACCACTATGGAAAACCATATGGAGAGTCCTCAAAAATTCTGAACTGCCTGCTGTATGATCCAGCAACTCCACTTCTGAGTATATATCCAAAAGAACTGAAAACAGGGTTTAGAAGAAGCACTTGTACATGCATGTTCATAGCAGCACTATTCATAATAGCCAAGAGGCAGAAGCAACCCAGATGTTCATCAACAGATGAATGGATAATATGGTATATACATAAAATGGGATATTATTCAACTTTAAAAAGGAATGAAATTTTGACACCACAACATGGATCAACCTTGAGGACATTATGCTTCATGAAATAAGAGGAAAATACTACATGATTCCACCTAATGAGGTACCCAGAGTAGTCAAATTCATGGAAACAAGGTAGAATGGTGGTTGTCAGGGGCTGGTGGGGAAGAGAGAATGGGGAGTTACTTATTTTATATGTGGGTACAAAGTTTCAATTTTGAAAGATGAAAAGAGCTCTAGATATGGACAGGTGTTAATAGTTGTAAAACATTGAATATACTTAAAAAACTGAACTGTGCACTTAATAGTAAATAGTAAATTTTAACTGATCCCTATTGTTTATTTCAGATTCCAGGTGAATTACATGATTTTGAAATATAAGACTTCAAACATGTTTTCTTTCATCATATTCTCATGTATTTGTCTTTTTATTCTTTTAGGCTTTATAGGCCATTTTATCTTCAGCTGACCAATATGCCTTTTATAAACTATTCTGTTCAGAAGCCCTCCAGTCCATTTGATGTAGATAAGCCATCTACCACCCAAAAGGAAACTCAGGTTAAACTAAGGTTGGTTTAACCGTCAAGTAATTTTTTATCTTTTTAAACAAATATTTAAAATAATTCATTTAACGCTATGGTGTGTGTGTGTTGGTGTGTGTGTGTGTGTCTGTCTGTCTGTCTAATCACTGTTGTGCTTTCTCCCCTGGATATTTTTAATGCCCCTTTGCTAGATTTAAAGTCTGAATCTCAAGTATGTCACATTTAGCCACTTTAGATGGGGGCTCTGGGGGGGAGCTTAAAAATATTTGCAAATAATTCAAATGTGTTGTTTCTTTTCAGTGATCTGAGATATTCTCCAGAATAATCGTTACATTCTCAGTTTGCTTCTCAATTTCTTAAAAAGAAAAATGGCTAAAAGTATTTGTTTATATAAATCTCTGCGAATTATGGCAGATGCTGTTTGATAGTTGAGGACTAAATTTTTTAAAATTATTCCTTACGTTCAGCGGTTAATCTTTTACCATATATTTCTATCAGGATCCAAACAGATGGTGATAAATGTGGTGGAATCCCAGTTCAACTCCAGTTAAAAGAGAAGAAAAAAAAGGGATATTGTGAATGTTGCTTGCAGAAATACGAAGATCTCGATACTGTAAATGTGATTTTGTATTTAGAGGGTTGATATTTCTAAAACTATGAATAATATTTGCTGTTTAAATTTTAGTTTATTCTTTTGATTGTGGTTTACAACTTGGTAATTATTAAGTAGTAGATACTTCTTTTTGATAGAATTATCTTGAATTTTAAGAACCCAAAGTGGGGAAATGTGTATTGAAAAATCATTTTTATCCATTCAGCAAATATTTATTGAGCACCTGCTGTGTACCAATTACCAATTACTGCTCTGGGTGAACAGCATTGAACAAAAGCGACCAATTCACAACCCTTGTGAAGATTACATTCTGTGGAAGGCAAGGAGAGAGAGCTAACCACAGGATAAGAGAATAGTGAAGTATATAGAGAGAACATTAGATCAGTGCTATGAGAAAATAAAGCAGGAATGAAGGTGTTGTTGCTATTTATTTAGACTAGACAAGGAATACCTAACTGATGAGGTGGTATTTGAGTAGAGACCTGAGAGAAGTTGAGGGAACAAGACTTGTGAATGTTGAAATAGGCAATGCAAAAGTGCTAAATGAAACTGATTGGCAGGATCAAAGAACAGATGTTGGTGGACTGAGCAATGGTGGTAGAAGTCAGCTTGCCGATATGATTGTAAAGGCGGGGCCAAGAGGATGTGCAGTGGATTGGATGTTGGGAGGGAGAGAGGGTGGGTCATGTGTCACTGCATGCTTCAGGCCTTAACAATTAAAAAATGGGTAAGTGATTTACTAATGGGAGGATGAGAAGAAAGTGGAGACAGTTCTTTGAAATAGCAGAAAAAGAAATTGTTGAAAATATATATGGGATGAAGAGAAAGTTTAAAAAATGGGAACAATTACAATTTGTAAACTGATAAAAAGAGCAAGAGCTTTGGATCCAGGCTAGCCCAAGGTTGAATCCTGGCTTCCTGTCTGTCTATGAGACTTTGGACAGTACCTGGCACTGTGCTTATTAAATATTAGCTGTTATTGTTTGAATTGTTAATTTTTAAAATACTGGGACAGTCTGTTTTGGTGCTTGGTTTTGGTAGAAGATGGTGGGAAAGTTGAGAAAAAATATTTGAAAATATCTGATCCATAAACTACCTCTGTCTTCAGTTTCTAAATTGGAAGTTTGTTTTATAACTGAAAGTTTGTGTCAGTTTTTTGTTTAGTTTATATAATAAAGTAGAAAAATAGTTAATTTTAAAGTTAGTTTAAAATTATTTTTAATCATAAGCTGAACTTTCTCAGAAATATTTGCCCTTCCCAAAAATCATTTTGAAAATTTAAATTGTAGATTGGTCCTGAAATTTTACTTTGCTGTTGCAATAAATTAATCTAAAATGGATGTTTTCCTTAATATCAGTTTGTGGATCCTAATTTGATGCTCAGAGGATGTTGGAGCTAAAAATCAACCACAAGAAAGGAAAATCAAAGTAGAGGCTGTGATGGATATTTTTTTAATTTTTTTTTTACAGTTTTTCATGTATATGATCCCTAGTCACTAAGAATATAGGAAATATTTTGTTTTTTGAAACTCTGATTTCGTAGTGATTCAGTTCCACCTGTGTCGAGGCATTCATTTAACAAATTTGATCACAGGAAATTAAGCAGCAAACAAGGCAGATATATTTCCTACCCTTTTACCATCTTACGGTCTGACAGAGGAAATAGATATGAAACATGTATTTGCAAGTAGGATGAAAAGTGAAGTATGAAGTGCAGTGGTAATAAATAGAGTACTGAATGTAGAATGAGGGACAAGGAAGGCTCAACTGAGAAAGTGACATTTAAATCAAGACTTAAAGGATGAATAAAAAGAGTTAGGTGGAGGTAGAGAGGAGCTACACAAAAGTTGGAAGTTGTTTTTCTTAGTTCAGTTAGTAATTTTTCCTTCCAAGAACATGAATAAACAGAATCTGAACTTACAAAGTTAATGTTTCGTTTCTCATTAGTTTTAACATTACTGAGCATACATAATTTGTATATGGTAAATTTTGCAAGCAAGGAAGGAATATGTTTATATTCCAGAATACTGTATTTTTTGTGACCAGTGAAGAATTTCGTTTTTGGAATTAAAATCAAATCATCGCAAGTTAAAATTAGTGCTCGCTTCGGCAGCACATACACTAAAATTGGAACGATACAGAGAAGATTAGCATGGCCCCTGCACAAGGATGACATGCAAATTCGTGAAGCGTTCCGATGTTTTTAATAAAGATGTTAAAAAAATAATAAAATAAAATGGATAACCAAAAAGAAAAGTTAAAATGATATGAAACTAGGGAAACAGAAATGAGGTTCTTCCATAATCACCTTGATACAGGCTTCTAGTTACAATTCCCTGATCAGCTGATAGGCAAATGAATTAGCCTGGAGATCCCACCTATTCAGAAGGAACTTTGTTTCCTCTGAGTTTTATCCCAGTACACTGAACTTGTTGACTTTTGTTCTTAACCACCCTTAAGATTGAGAAAAGCTTCTCGGTACTCAGTCATAAGCACTGGGTAATTGAGATCATTTATACCCTCATTCTCAAAATATTTTTTATTCTTCCCAGCATTAGTTGTACTTCATCTTTTTTTACTTAATCTCTCTTCTAGATTCTTGTTTTAGATTCTTGTATGTTACATAACATTTCATGTATTTAATATTTTATAAGCCCTACCTTACTTATTACTTAGTGGTAATTGCATAAGAATAAAGTAGTAAAGAGAAGTGTTTTCAAAAATATTAGCACACTAAATGCTATATGTTACTGTTGTTTTTCTTCAGCTTTATCTTCATTTTCTGATGTAGCTCATTGGTTTTCAGTTCCCTTAAACTACTAATTAATTAGTACTTGACTTTTTCTGATTGAAAAATGGAAGACTAAAAACCAAAGTACTTTTAGTGGTTTCTCAGCAGTTACTTTTATTCTACTTATTTTAAGTTCTGATAAAGGATATTTCTTTGGAGTAGTTATTAGATACTTAATTTTAGGGGCATGAGAATATTAGAAAAAAGTATCTATTACTTTTAAAATATAATTATGATTTATGTACTTTTTTGTTTTATTTTAGCATCTTCTAAGTGAGCAACACAGAAACTTTGCACAGAGTAATCACTATCAACTTGTTGATGACATTGTATCTAAGTTAGTTTTTGACTTCGTGGAATATGAAAGGGACATGCCTAAAAATAAAAGGTAATTATCAACCCAAGTTTTAAATTTTACAAGAATATTAAACCATTAAACTAAAAATAAATCCAATGTTTTCTGTTCTTAGAAGGATTATATTTTCAGCATAGAAATATGGTTAAGAACTGATTGCTTCTTTTCTCTCCCTCCTCCACCGCCACCAAAAACGCTTACCTTATTATTACTTTTAAGGCTCTCTTCTTAACATAGTCTAAAAGGGGAGTTGGCAAACTTTTTCTATAAAGAACCACATAGTTAATATTTTAGGCTTTGTGAACCACAAAAAATAAATAGATGGCAGACTAGATTTGGCCCGAGCTGTAAAAAGTGTGAATACAGTGATGTTCAGTATATAGTAACTGTACATTGACAAAATGAGCCTCATTAAGATTATTCCCATAAATCTAAAATAAAAAGAAATGCTTTCATATGAATATACCCTAGAATTGGTAATAACTCAATAGGTTGTTTAGTCCTTATATCTGTTTTTAGACCAATCTTAAGGCATAAAGAAGACTATAAAATGATACCAAGCTACAACTCCTGAAAATTAACTAGAAAGTTTTTTGGCTATATCTGGGTAGAACAGTTCCTAAACCTCTTATTTCTGTAACATTCAGAATGATTGTTCATGACTGATGTAATATTTGGAGAGGAAGCATATTTCCAACTATTAAAACTTATATGGGCTACTGTAAGAATTTAGAATTCCCTAAAAACTCATTCTGCAGCAAAATTCTGAACTAGTACTTAAATATAAACTGGTTTATTCCTTAATTATCTTATCTGCACAATTTCTATCTCTATAGACAAGTCACTTAAACATCTCTGGACTTTAAAGAAGAGTGATGTTGGACTAGTGTTTTTACATTTTATATCCTCCATTTGTTCAAGAGGAGTCTTAAGTGAAAGTATCAACAAAATAAATAGAAAAGTAACCATTCCGGTTTTGAAGGGGCAGGTGGAATTCTATATTTCTCTTCATTATCTGTGACATGTATAACATAAAACATAATTAGTGAGCCGTTAAGTTTTTTTCTCTTTGTAAGTAATTTAGGATTGTCTAATACAAACTAGCATCCCAAGGGTATTAAGAGACTCCATGAAGAAGAGAGTTTCAAGTCAAATATGTGTGTGAAACTTAAGGATTACTGACTTGTCATCTTTAGAAGTATAATGATATAAGGTTTCTGGCTTACTATAATATTGGATTGTTTATTTTTAAATATAAATAAATATCCATTTCTGCCTTAGGTTTCCCAATACTCATTCTCCACATGCGAAGTCAACATTAATGTAAATCAAAGCACAGAAATTAAGAAATTTTTCAGGATAGTGAAAAAATTAGGAACAGACCCAAATCCCTTTACTATCATCTTTCTTTGATTTATATGATCAAAGTAGTTTTAAATACCAAAGTCAAGAAACTGCTTACCTCTGGGAGGAAGTGGAAGAATGTGGATGAGGAATGGTACACTAGAGTTTTTAGCTATATCTGTAAAGTTTTATTATTTTAAAAACATCTAAAGTGGACTTCCCTGGCAGTCCATTGGTTAAGACTCCCCACTTCCACCGCAGGGGGCATGGGTTTGACCCCTGGTCGGGGAACTAAGATCCTACACGCCACGCGGCGCGGCCAAAAAAATAAAAGCATCTAAAGTAAATGTGGCTAAATAGTAAAAGTTCTGTATTTTTGTAGTGTTTTCTAAGTTAAATAAGTTTTATATACAGTTTTTAAAGATTTTTACTAATTTAGTTTTTAAATACTCAGGAATTTTTGATAGCAATTTTAATTTTTTTTTCTTTTCTTTTTCCTCTAAAGAATAAAATACAGTGTTGGTTCCCTTTCTCCTGTTACTGCAAATGTTTTGAAAAAGTTTGAACGTAAAGAAAAGATGGAATTACAACATACTTCTCAGAAAAACTCCAGGGAAAATGTACAGGTGATGGAGCACGGTTTCCTGGATAAAGAAACCCAGGAACCTGAACAAAAGTTTATGTCTACTTCAGAACACATCCCACACCCTTCAAGTGAATTAAGAGGACATGATGATAAAACATCTAATAAATGTTCCATGTTAAATCCAGCTGAAAATGACATAAAAGAAAATTTTATATCTCTAAATTTTATATCTCTGTCTCCACATAAAAATAAACAGGAATGCATTCTTAATGTTCCTAAACATAAATTAATTATAAATGAAAATGACTTAGAAGTAAGGGTGGATCACTGTCCACATAGGCAACAGGCATCTGTACAAGTTTCTCATTTCAGTACGGATAATAGTGCATCTCAACCAAAACAAAAGTCAGATACTGTACTTTTTCCAGCAAAGGATATGAAGGAAAAGGACCTTCGTTCAGTATTTCATCATGATTCTGATCTGTTAGCAATAAACAGTTCACAGAAGCACCTAACAATTCAGGCAAAGGCTCCATCCCAAAGCCCTACTGAGGAACCCAACCCATGTGACATCAAGAATATGGATAGTTTACCTTCTGGTAAAATCCATCGGAAAGTGAAAATACTATTAAGAAGAAATAAAAAAGAAAACCTGGAACCAAATGTGGAATTAGATAAGAAAAGAACTGAATTTCTTACTACACAAGAAGAAAACAGAATTTGTAGCTCATCAGTACAGTCTCTACTAGACTTATTTCAAACCAGTGAAGAAAAGTCAGAATTTTTGGGTTTCACAAGCTACACTGAAAACAGTGGTATATGTGATGTTTTAGATATTTGGGAAGAGGAAAACTCACATCTGTTATCAGTGTTTTTCTCTTCCCCTTCAACTTCTACATTTTCTGGTTTTTAGATTTAAAAAAATAAATACGTTTCAGAAGCAATGAAGATGATATTCTTGAAATTTTTAAGAAAATTCTTAGTTTTGGGGGTGAGGTTTTGCCAATTTTGTTTACAGAATGAAATGTAAATATTAACAATAAAGGTGATTGCATTTTTCTACAGAATTGAATATGCTAGAAAAATTGTAGAATAAACTTGTGACTCATATTATTTTGCATACTATGTTCATAATTGTTTTCTAAGAACTATTATGAATAATAAGTTTGCTTTATGTCAGTGAAAACTAATTTCAAGGGAAATTTTGAGAATATCAAAATTTAGCATTATAAATTTAGATATTCTAGTTATATCTATTGTCTATTAAAACATTTCCATGATAACATGATAATATTGCTTTTAAAAACCTAGTTTTCATACAGAAAGGAAAAATTGTATTTCAATGTCTCAGTTCTGGAAATCATTATTACCAGAAGCATTGACACATGAGGGTGAACTAGTTGGACCATGCTAGGGTGTTGGCACTGAGGAGTTAGGTTATTTGTGTAGATAAATAGAAGCCATGAGGGAAAAACTTAACCAGGCTAGCATATGGAGTGAAATAATTTTTCCACTGTTCTTATTTACCTTTGGAAATAATTTCTTCCAAAAATGACTCTTTAATCCCTAATTTGGTATCAAGAAAGGAAAGGGAAAGGATGGCAATGAACTAGATATGTTTTGAAACATGCAGATTGCCTTTGATCAGTCACTTGGCGATTCAATAATTTAGAGAAGAGAAAATTCAAATATCAGGAAAATTTCAACTCTCACCGGTAGATGGTTCACAATAAAAATTAGTGCCAATGAATATTATATGAATACACTGTCAACTAAAATTAACAATTTTATTGTTCATGCCAGTACTTAAAGGAGGATCACTGAAATATCCTTTATAGTGCATTTATGTTTTAAACAAAAAACCCCTTGGAAGATTTTTACGCAGGACAGAAAATTCCATTTATAAGTATGAGAGTTCTTATAATGACATATCATTTTCAGTAGTAAACTCATGTAACAACAGACAAATAGCCATTTTCAAAATGCTCTCATATCGTGACCATTTCAAAAGCAGTTCCTTCTCTTATTGTTAACAAACATCTTTAACTTTGAAGGGACAAATTAAGTGGTTGGTTTTTTGTTTTTCAAAAACTCTTTGAGGTTCCAAAGACTACATTAGTTACCCCTAATAGTAATCCCATAAAATCTTTTCCTTTACCTTGTCTTAGCACTTTCAAACAGTATAAAAACTGAGTTGTAACGGCAACTCATCACAGGTTGGGTTCCCACAGGAAGTAAACTCTGTGATGGAGTTTGGCATGTAGGATGTTTTCTAACGACTGCCTTTGGACATAGTTGGCCCCACAAGAATCTCGCAGTTGCTAGGTGAAGCTGACTGGTAAATCACTGAATGGTTCAGTGACCACTCAGATGGGGCATGACCAGGCAACGAGGCTCTGCAGATGAGAATTCCTTCAGGAGCTGACAGCTGTAAGCTGTCTACTGCCTGTACCCCCAGCAGCTGGGGCAGCACGTTCTTTATTAAAGATGGATCAGAATCAATTACTCCTACCAGGATGGTGACTCCTTGTCTGCTGGTCTCTTGGAACAAGGAACCCAAAGGGGCTAGGTGGTAATTGCAGCTTATAATTCAACAGGAATTGCTAAAATGGGAAGCACAAATTACAACAGGGACACAGGAATAATAATGGCAAGTAGGGACACTCCTGCTTCCACCTGTTGGTTCCCAGACCCATGTATTCTTTTATCAGAGACATAGCACCATATAAATGTTTTGAACTCAAAGCGTATCCTGCATCCTAGGTGATACCCCATCCTCAAAAATATCACCTCCACACCTCCAAGCTAATGCTACAGCTGTGCCTTCAACAGGCCATTCCAATACTCTATCATTTAGGAAGCTTCTGGGTGATTCTATATGAGTTAAGACCGTGGACCACCTGACCGTGGGCACACTCCAACACCTTCACCATAAAGTCAATCCCCTGGTGTAACATGAAATTATGTATGATGCCATGCCAATAAATCCTCAAAAGGTGATGGCGTGAGCAAGAAAGACAATCTCCTACCTGGAATATGTCCGTTACTGTGCCTAGCGTGATCAACTTGTCATCATGTGCCAGGTTGGTCTCCTGGAGGGATTGTGCCATATCAGGAGCTCAGTGTTGGTCGCTGTTTCTGGCAAGTTGAACTTCAGGCAAAAGCAGAAACACTAGATCAACTTAAGTGAATAGGAGCCCATACCATTGAGCCCATACATGGCTTTCATCCCTGCCACCGTAGCCCTTTTTCTTATGTACCCATCGTGTCAGCATTAGGGTGGTATTAACATATGATATGAAGATGCTCACATTCCATGCCCACTCCCATATGCCACGTGCCTCCACCCCTTACATGTAATCTTCCAATCTGTCTCTCCACAAATCACTTAACAGCCAGTCATTTCTCACTGCCCAAGAAGAGTTCACATATATTCTGAACTCAGGCCACTTCTCTCTCCACACAAAGGGGGTGACTTCAAGCTTCACCTCTTGAAGCTCTGCCCATTGGGAAGATTTTCCCTTGTGACTGGCTTTCAGTACCACCCCTGAGTGGAGCTGTACGGAGGATGCTATCTATTTTCAGCTTGCAACCACAGAAGCAACTAGTCCATGAACCAAGTTTGGGTTTTTCCTCCTTTTTACATCTGGTCTTAAAAGATGGCCCATACACCTGTAGGTGTGACATGGGGGTCTGGGCTGCCTGCTCGTGCAATTCCCATGAACCCTCGGGTCCTGCTTTTGCGCAGCCCTGTATGTACCAGTTCCATCTGACCATGGATTACTGCTGCACCTGCTGCAAGTTATGACTGGATGGTTCTGATAGAACCCCAGCTCAAGATTGCCAGTTGTAACCACATTATGATTTTGCCCCATGGTCAGGCAACTCATCTCTCATACATCATCATCTCATACAACAAACTATCTTCATTTTTCATAAAGTATATAATTCTCCACTGAAGATGGCATGGCCTTATCCTAAAACCCCCAGGGCCTCGGTTGTGATTCCCTATTGGCGGTGGCCATAAACTGCAGCTTTCCTACCACTGATGTCTAGAACCTTTGAACCTGCCTGGTTACATGACTGCAGAGCCCTTTTCTGCTCACAGCTGGCAGCCTTTCATGCCACTGGGTGGAAGCAGTATTCCCAGTTGGAATATACTGCCTCCAAGATCTGAAGAGGCCTACTAGGCATTATCCTTCCTTTTTCATGTTTAGGAAGTTCAGGGTGCAATAATTTGTCCTTTACTTTGGATGGCATGTCCTGGAATGCCCCTGACCAATGGAACTCTAAAAATATTACTGATGTGACAAGGTCCCTGAATCTTCTTACGGTATCTCTCTCACCCTCTAGGGAGGGTGTCTTATCAAAGTTTCCAATATGTTAGTGACCTCTTGCTCATATCGTCCAATAAATATGTTACCGTTGATATAATGTATTAATGTGATGTTCTCTGTGGCATCCTCTTCAACTTACTGGATGACAAAGGACAAGAAAGTTTAAGTAGCCCTGAGGTAAAACTACCGTCATCTTTTCCCTGTGAATACACACTGTTTCTGATCTTTTATTTTCCTAACAGGGATGGAAATTATGCATCTACCCAATCAATGTCTGCCTACCAGGTACTTGGGAGTATATTCATGTGCAATGGAAAGGACACCACACCTGGCACTTCAACTGCAGTTGAGCTTATGACTTAGTGCAGTTTGTGGCAGTCTGTGGCAGTTCCTTACAACCCAGATGATGGGAATCAACCATCTTTTAGATACTTAACAGGCTCACTAATTTCCTCCACCACCACCCCAGGTTAAGATAGTGTTTTTGATTTATTATTTGGCTGAGGGATAGAGGCAGTTTCAGAGATTACCACTTACTTGGTGTTTTCCTTTTCTTCTCTTCTCTCTTCCTTCTTTCTTTCTTTCTTTTTTTTGTCTCTCCCACTATAATGATTCTTGTCCTGTAGGTCAGGAACACAACGCGAGGGATTTTATGAAGTACTAAGTATTCACTCTAATAAAATATTCAGAGGCTAAACAAATGACATTGTTGACCCACTGTGAGCCAAACCTTGGCCAGGACTCCATTTATTACCTGGCTGCCATATGCATCCATTATACGAGGTGCTTTGGATCCCAGATATCACTGTGAATTCAGACCCTGCATCCAACAAATATTGGGTTATTCTTACCCTTTTCCCCAGTGCAATTACTCAAATACCTGGAGGTAAGTCCCTTTGGGGAAGGACTAGGGGAATCATTACCACATGTATTTGACATGTGTTGCAGTGTCCTTCTCCTGGGGACATAACTTTTCCTCAGTCAGTGGTTTCTGGGTTGAGAAACTGACTCAAGTTTGGAAACAGAACAAGAGAGCGTGACTTTATTGGAGCAACTCCTCTCAGCCTCCTGAGGTGGATTTATTTTAATGATACATATTGAGTAAATTCCTTTGTTATTGTCCATCCATTTCACTCCTAAAGGAACTGTGTTCTATTAACCAACTCCACAACTCTCTTAGGATCAGGCCTCCTCTGGCTTAACCTTGCCAATTATTATTATGGTTATGTGCACATGGCATCTGTATATGTGATGGGTTTCATTCAAATATATATAATTATATATAGATATATAGAACAGGCAAGATGTGGCCAGAAGCACACACCCACAACAACAGTCAAAGGAGATTAATATGATACATCATATAACAAAATGAAGGTTAAAAATTGTATGATCATCTCAACAGATGCAGAAAAAGCACTTGACAAAATCTGAAATCCATTCACGATAAAAACTGTCAACAAACTAGGCACAGAGAGAATGTTTCTCAACATAAGAAAGGTCATATATGATAAGCCCACAGCTAACATCATACTCAGTGGTAAGAAAGTTTTTCCTCTAAGAGCAGGAGCAAAACACACATGCCCACTCTTGCCACTTTTATTAAACATAGTACTAGAAGTACTAGCCAGAGCAATTAGGCAATAAAAAGACATAATAAGGATCCAAATCACGAAGGAAGAAGTGAAACTGTCTCTGTTTGCAGATGACACGATATTATATATAGAAAACCCTAAAAACTCACCCCCAAAACTGTTAGAACTAATAAATGAATTCAGCAAAGT